GATATGAGTATAGGATAGCTAAATAAAGTAGCTATCATGACTAATCATAGTTTTTCTGTTTATGGAGAAGTGCTCAACTTCTTTCTAGCAAAAAGGAAGTTCAATAGGTACATACATGACAACATTTAGTTAAACATTAACCTACCTGATGTAGCACATTATATTGGTATTAAAGCTTCAATTGCCGTAGGTGCACAAAGCTAATGTAAACTATGCTCCAAGGGACTGGAACATGTGCTTATTCTTCCATGACTATGTGGTCTACCGATGCGGTGAGTATAAAGTGCAAATGGTTTCTTCTTAACAAGCAATAATCTGTGCTAAAGAACACTATTTATTTCACGTTATAATATTTTATATATGCAATATTCCTCAATAACATTGTTCATATTAATTAAATGAAGATTATATTTCTCCTAACAGCACTGCCTGTTTTGTAACAGACAATAAGAAATTTGCTGGATTACATGGTCAATACATTTCCTGTCACATTCTTACTGCTGTATTATAAGGCCAAGCTTATAGGGAAAATGTTTATTCCACAACCACAAATAATATATATAATAATATTTGTATGTGTGTAGGGGTATGTATGAAGTAATGCTGATAAATTATTTTACAGAAGATCTGGTGTGAGGATTTAAAAAAGAAATACTCAAAAATAAAAAGTTTTGAAGCAATTAAAGAATAAAGATTTATCTGAATTTTGCAGTCTAATTTTCAGAATCCATTGACTTTTGCCTCATTAAGGAAATACCCTCAAAACATCTTTTATGGTTCATATCATACACATTTTTTACAAGATGAACCTGTTGGCAATCTGCTGATAAACTATGACTTTGTAATTGTTGAATTTTTAATATTTGTATGCCATCCACAGTCACTGTTGTGAAACAGGTGGCCATAGCAATTACTTAAATAAATCAGTTAATGGCACTTAGCATATGGAGGCCCTGCGGATTTTACTCCACTAGTCATTGCCTACTATAGGGGGCAGTGGTCATCTCAGTTTCAAAACCATTGAGCCAGTGCTGTCCGAAGACATTTCCATGGTCATGTGACCAACATGGTCATGCAGCCTTGTTATCTTCACACCAAAATGATACCTATTTATCTACTCCCATTTGCATGCTTTCAAACTGCTAGGTTGTTAGTAGCTGGGGCAAGGATGGGAGCTCACCCGTCACTTGGCACTTGGGTCTCAAACCTGGCCTGCTGGCTTTCTTAGCATATGATACACTCAGAATTTATATTTGGTCTATTCTATAGAAATTCCAATGTAAACCTCTCCCTGACTTCCTCTAGCAAATAGCATTGGGTTTTGTAAAAATGTTGAACTGATAGAACCACTTTATTTGGAATTATATATCATCTGAAGATCAGCTAGCAACTTGGAATCACATAACTGCAGGATGCTGCAGCCAGTCAATATGAATTGGTTGCCAAGGGCCCAAATTGTCATCCTGTTATCTCAAGGGGGTACAATTGTCATAAGTGCAAAAACAGGTTGTAATTAATTTTTTCCATTATCATCAGCCATCATAACTTGAACCGTTGTTAAACAAATGGCGATAAGTCAAGACTACTTGTAATCATTACCATTGTTTTCTCTTATCGAGCTAGAGAAGAGATTTTAGCACATGGTTTTGTTAATTACTGAATGTTATCAATGACTATGAATCCTCAGTGTTATTATAAATATAGTGTAACTTATCAATAGTTTCTCCTTGTCCCCAGAAGGTGGCAGCACTTTGAAAGTCAAACTGTAACCATGGTAACTGTAGGGTGACATTACAGCTGTTCATTCTATAACACATTTGAAATCAGAAATAGAAAGTGCTATATATGTAATATGTGTTCAGATTAACACCTGCAGAAAAACATTAACTGTTCTAATGCCAAGACATCTTGAAAAATATCTGTTCCAGGCAGTAGACCAGATCCAAAAATCCACTCTGCAGGAAGATTCAAACTATGCCTTATTGAGATAAGCTATAATAACAGAATACAGTCTACTGCAAATCTGTTTGTGTTTTACGTTCCCTCTTATATCCTGGTCAATCAAGGAGGTACCAGCCTAAATGAACTCTTTATCTTTTAAAAAATGTTTCGTTCCTCCTGGTTTATATAATATTTTTTGCCAATTTCCCTCAAGGTCATCTCCCTGACTTTCTACACCAAATGACAAACCATCATGTGATTGTGGTCATGCTTATTTTCAGTTTGTCTCAACCTCTTCTCTGAGAGTTCTTTTATTCCTTTTATGCAATGGAATATTTTAACACACCTTATGCCTGCAAATTTTAATAAACTTTGCCCCAGAATTATATTTTTTTTAAAAAGGTGAAATTTAACATCTGTATTCTGCTTCTAAATGATTCTCTACCTGTTTCCATTCCAACCAAAATCTCATCATCAAAAAGGGGAGGGAGGAATTTCAGTCAAAGGAGAGAGAATAAAGTGTTGTAAGTATTGCCTTCTTCAACTCAGTACCTCATAATATGGAATATTACACTTTTGAGCAATATTGACTAATACGATGCCCTTGAAGTGATGTCCCAGTGCCTGGAGGCTGTGCGGATCTGGATGGGGAGGAACAGGCTCAGGCTCAACCCTTCCAAGACTGAGTGGCTGTGGCTCCCGGCATCCCGATATAGTCAGTTGACTCCATCACTGACTATTGGGGGCGAGTCGTTGGCCCCCACAGAGAGGGCTCGCAATCTGGGAGTCCTCCTGGATAGGCAGCTGTCCTTGGAGGAACATCTGACGGCTGTAACCAGGGGGACCTTTTGTCAGGTTCGCCTGATCCGCCGGTTGCGGCCCTTTCTTGATCGGGATTCCCTGTGCACAGTCACTCATGCCCTCGTCACCTCTCGCCTTGACTACTGCAACGCTCTCTACATGGGGCTCCCTTGAGGAGCACCCGGAGGCTCCAACTGGTCCAGAATGCAGCAGCGCGGGTAGTGACGGGAGCAGCCTGGCGCTCCCATGTAACACCGCTCCTGCGCGAGCTGCACTGGCTCCCAGTGGTCTTCCGGGTGCGCTTCAAGGTGTTGGTTATCACCTTTAAAGCGCTCCATGGCATAGGGCCTAGCTATCTTCGAGACCGCCTGCTGCCACCGACGATCTCCCATCGACCCGTGCGCTCCCACAGAGAGGGCCTCCTCGGGGTGCCATCAGCCAAACAGTGCAGGCTGGTGACCCCCAGGGGGAGGGCCTTCTCTGTGGGGGCACCTACCCTCTGGAATCAATTGCCTCCAGAGATAAGGAGAATCCAAGACCTCGGTGCCTTCCGCCGTGCCCTTAAAACCTTCCTTTTCCAGCAAGCCGGGCTGGCCTAATTTTTTAAGTGTTTTTAAGTGTTTTGTTTATTGTTTTTAATTAATGGGGCCAAATTTATATATGTATATTTTAACTGTATTTTAATATTTGTATTTGATGTTTTTACTTGGCTGTTCACCGCCTGAGTCCTCAGGGAGAAGGGCGGTATACAAATTCAAAAATAAAAATAAAATAAATAAATAAATAAAATATGCCCAGTGGTGGGATTCAAGTAATTTAGCAACTGGTTCTCTGCCCTAATGATTTCTTCCAACAACCGGTTTGCCAAACTGCTCAGAAAGTTAACAACCGGATCTCCCAAAGTGGTGCGAACTGGCTGAATCCCACCACTGAATATGCCCCAATTTTGTTCTTATCCCTTATATGATATAGGGACTTTATAAAGACTTAGAATCTATAAAGACTATAATCAGGAGACATTAACCACTTGCTATAACAGTAATTTGACTCTGTGGTTGGATGTTGCAAATGTCTTGTAGTATGTCTGTCTGCCTGCAGTTCTCCTGCTGGTCTATTCTGCTGGTCTGACTGACTTTCTTGGCAGATTTCTTTCTAACAAGCTGGTGGGAGTCTTCTTGTTTAGGCTTTTTTGATAGTCAAGGCTTTGACCATCACTCTGCTCTGTCACAATTTTTCCCCAAGCTGATGCTCTCCAGAACATTTTGCAGTACAATTCCATTATCCCCAGTCAGCTCACTTTTATGACTCGACAGCATGGGTGGAGATCTTTTACCTGTAACCGAAAATTAAGTTTACAGAAGGCAGTCCGCAGGGAGAAAGTCTCAGGTGGCCTCTTAATGACTAATTTATTAGGGCATCAGCTTTCGTGGATTGTAGAAAAGCTGATGTCATAATAAATCTAAGTCTCTGAGGCGCCACAAATTTTTCCGAGCTTTCACAGCAATAAATAGGCACAATTACTTATCATGGTAATCAAGAAGGGAAAGGAATGCACAACATCAGGGACAAAGGGGTCAGGTATTTTCCTCCTGATCCCTGAAACTCTTGCTGGCCCTTTTCTGAACTATTTCTTCAGGCAACACACACACACACACACACAAACACTTTCTCCTATCCTCAGTGAACACAAATGCAAGTATAAATCCTTCCATTCCCCACCATCCAGTCAGAGCTGGAGAAGCTACTTGGATGAGATGTCTTCAAAGAAAAACCATAAAGTCCAGTTGCCTCTTGGGAAAAAAAAAGCACTTTTGGGACAACCATGACTTGGATGACTGAGAATCTCCCAGTGGAAATGATGAGCCAGAAAGTTTATAATGTACAGTATTCCTGGTTTTAGACTGAATGTAAATTTATCAGGTATTCATTGCCACTTATTCACAGTATGCTGTTAAAGCAATCATGCCCTAAAGCACTATAGCCCTCTGAAGGGAATCAGCAGGAGCAAAGAGCAGCCCCAAATTTGCGGGACACGTCTCTTGGCTCCGCTCTCGCTCCCCCTCCCCTCGCGCTCGCTCAGCAGGCCCAGCTCCAAGTGCGCCACATCTTCCAGTCTCTGGGTTGGGCGGGGGGGGAGGAATAATAATAATAAAAATTCCTTCTCTTAAACGAACGTGCCGGATAGCCAATCGCCTTGGAAAGCGTCCGACGGTTACAGCCGCCACCGCCCAATGGGGTGGGTCTTGAGGCGGAGTCCGTGGGGTGTGAGAGCAAAGCGCGGTCGACTGGCGGCGGCCGAGGCACTTCCCTTCTTCGCCGCCGGACCTGCGAGACTGCCGGGAAAGGCGGAGAAGACGAAAGGGCTATTATCATGATGCGGCTCCGCAGCCCTGCGCTGCTGAGGGACCTGCTCTGGCTCAGCCAGACCGGCACCGGCGCGCTCAGCTGTTGCCATCGCTCGGCGCTGAGATGGCTCCATCCCGCTTGGGCCGGCGTGGCCGGTGGCCGCTTGCCTTTGCGGCTCATGCCCGGCGCTGCCGCCACCGCCGCCACCCGTTCCTTGTGCACCAGCTCCGAGGGCATCTTGCAGCAGACTGGCAAGGGCCCTCCTGCCCAGCAACCGCCGGCACCCACGACATCCGCCGAGATGCCCGCCTCGCCCCCCGGCCAGAACAGCCACAACGCGGCCGCAAGCAAGGAAGCAGGCGTCTTGGGGGAAAAGTGAGTGGCGGCAGCGAGGGCGGGCTGGGGCCGTTGGCGGGACCGAAAGCCAGAAGCCTTGGGAGACAGACAGAAGGAAGGATGCTCCTCCGGCTGCCGGCTGGTAGTGGGCGCATGCCTGCTGGTGCTGCCGGCGTCTTCCTCCCGTTGACATGTGACAGGATGCTGCTTTGTAAATGTCAGGACAGGACAGGGCTACCCCACGTGCTGGGTGGATGTCTAGGAAGGCAGAGCTGAAGATGGGACTGGGAGGTTGCCAGAACAACCGTCCCTGGCCCCGCGGAGTGGCTGGGAGGTTCTTTGCCATCCCCTCCTTCCTTCGATGCATTTTGTCCCAAAGGTGCTTTTTTTTCCCCCAAGAGGCAACTGGACTTTCTGGTTTTTACTTTGAAGACGTTTCGCTTCTCATCCAAGAAGCTTCTTCAGCTCTGACTGGATGGTGGGGAATGGAAGGATCCACCGTCCAGTCAGAGTTGAAGCTTCTTGGATGAGAAGCGAAAACGTCTTCAAAAAAAAAAAAGACGTTTTCCAGTTGCCTCTTGGAAAAAAAATCACCTTTGGGACAACCGTGGCTTGGATGACTGAGAATCTCCGTAGACTTCGATATATTTATTTTCCTGAGATTAAATTAGCTTTCACTCTCTATTGAAAGTAAAGTGGGAGGGGGAGGGGGAGGAAGGGATGCCTTTATTGTGTTTTGGGCATTGTAGCAGAAAAGTGACCATTGGAAGGACCCACTGGCCACTGATTTGGGTGGGTTTTACTTAATCACTGGATAATTACAGTTAATTTATGTCTTAAGTTAGTGGGTGGTGAAATTGGAGTTTGGGAAAGTGTCAGCGATGCTTTAGTCTTGCTAGCTTTCATTTTTAAAATTAAATGCTGCTATTTATTTGAGAATTTATATTTGAAGCGTGATTTACTTAGAGATTTTATGTCTTTCAGCTAAGGGTCATAAGCTGATCCATGAAACAGGCCTGTGAAAGGGTTCTACTGTTTTCAGTTTTCACTTATTTTATTGGAAGTGTTTATGAAATGATGTACAATTTCCTTTTTTGGTACATATTTATGAAATGAGATCTGGGGAGGGAGAAACATTTCTGCCATGCAATGTGTAAAAGGGAATTCAGGAAATGTTCATCTAAAATATTATGTTGGCGGAGTTTTTTAGAATTTTCCTGTCCAGCATTTATATCTAAGAATTAAAATCTAGAGTACAATTAAACAGTTACAAAGGATTGTATCTGAAATATTGAATGTAGCTTTTAAAAATCTTCTAGTTGAATTACTCATTTATTAACAGTCTCATTTACAGAAGAGATAAGTAGTGAAATACACTTAGGTGAATAGAGTCATGTTAAAAGTGCTCAGAAGTTTTCAATTTTTCTTCCCAGGAAAGCATTTTATTTCAGTCAACGTTTCTGAATCTTCAATTTAATTATTTGTCCCTTCATATAAAACCACTGACAATTGACAACATGAATACTTGTGATCAGAATTTTTTAGGTAATACAGTTTAAATTTAAAAGAAAATTGTTTTTACTACTTGCAGTGAATCTACTGAAGTATGATTGCAGCTGCTATAGTATTTTTATGATTCATCTTTAAAATGATTTTCAGGCCAATCAATGAGCAATGTATCAGGGTGGTGGGGAGGAAGCTATAGACTCAGTTATTTCAGTGAAATTAATGATAGAAAATGGTTTGCCTACAGTTTTGAGAAAATCATAAGGCTTAAGGAATTATGGTCTTTGATTTGATTTGGTAATTGGATGTAAAATTCTGGCAGGGAAACTTAGAATTACAAAGTTGGAAGAGGCCATTTAGGCTATTGAATCTAATTCTCTACTTGGTATGGGAATCCAGTTACTATATATATACTCAGGAATAAGGCTATCCTTAAATTTTTTTAGTGTTTTAATTTTCACAATTGGCTTATCTATGGGTAATTCATGAATTATTCATTTTTCATGGTATTTGGGTCAAAATCCACAGATGGGCTTATCCATGAATATATACAGGATATATGGATATTTTAAAAAATCTATTATAGTACTTATGTTCTTGCAGATAACTCCAATCCATTTTTGTGTGTACTTTGGCACCTAAAATTCTTAGCTGATCTGCACATGAGAAGAAGAGCATCCCATCTTTATGTTTTATTATGTTGCTTTAATAGAGAAGTGTGTATGTATGTATGTATGTATATGTATATGTATAAGGTATTTCTATTAATGATAATACTTTAGAAGCCTCGGTTTGCTACTTATATTATGGATTGTGAGTTTGTTTGGTTATCTGCCATTTAGAGTTATTTTGATAGATGGAAAACCATTTAAATGTGTTAAATAAATAAATAAAACCCAATATCAACAGAAATAATAAAAAGTGGTAATTATACAATGGAGGTCCCCCCTTTGTGCCTTCAAATCAATGTTGAGCCTGTTTTACTAATCTAGATGAAATGTTAATATATATTGCTGTTCCATGTATAACAAATCCTTTTTGCTCATGCCCAGGCTGGATAAAGCCAAACCTCTTTGTGAAACAATGACATTCAACATTGCATCAAGGTCCTTAACTATAATATTTCTTTCCAAAATTGTGTTGATATATGTAATGATTTGAAATCAAATTGAAATTGTAATTGGACGACCAAATTATATGACTTAAAGAGCTTTTGAATTTCATACAACACACACCAAATCTAATATCCAACTTTTTAAAAAACATTTTCAAAAGGGTTAATAAAAATATTTTCTGATAAATTAGTTTCCTTTTTAAATCATGTCTGTGGAGATTCTCAGTCATCCAGGTCATGGTTGTCCCAAAGGTCCTTTTTCAAGAGGCAACTGGAGTTTCTTTTTTGGGGGGGAGGGAGGGGTTCTTCTTTTTTAAATCATGCAGTTTTTCACCTGGACCCATTTATCCTCCAAAATTGAATATTCTAGTTCTTTATTCCATAATTCAGATATAAAACTAATAGAACTTTTACTTTTTAATTCCTCATAAAATTAGATTGTCAGTTTTTGTTCAAGTGCTGCATCTCTTAAACATTTTAAACTTGTTAGTACCTTGCTGCTGCTAAAGCAGCCAGGCCATTCTGTTTAATACGTTTCAGTTATATATATTGCTCAGCAAATCTTGTAAAGAAATTATACTCAAAACACAACTCATTAGTAATCAATTGATTGAGAGTACTGATTTATTGTTTGGTCCAAGCATTCCAATAAAACATTTTCCCTCCTATTTTCAGATTTGGGTTATTCCACAATAGCAGTTTTTCATGGAATTTTGGATCAAAATGTACCTAGTAAGCATTTAATGACCAGATGCATTTGGCAGTTTTTGAGGCTGGAAATGAAGATACTTGTTTGATATCCTATCCTTAGACCTAAATTTCAGAAGTGTTTTACCACTCTAATCATAAGGCAATCTCATATTCTCCAAGGATATTCAATAGCATACCAATAGAGGAGAATATTTGTAGCTCAGGATTGAAATGAGGGGTCCCTAGTGCTCTCTGAGCTTGGTCATTTTTTTGCAGACATTTCATTACCCAAACTAGGTAACTCAAATGAGCAGAAATTAACACCAAGATTAACATTAGGCCAACAATCAAGAAGCAAACAATACCCTAAACAAGGAACTGTCAAAGAAGCTAACAGTAAACAGCCTAACCAAAGAACCATCAAGACCACTCCCACCAAAACTGTTAGGGCAAGCCACTAGAATATAAAATGAGAGTAAACCCCACTCCCTACTAGGAACTTTCCCTACTAGGAAATTTCATGGACAAAGAAAATTTCATGGCTTTTGAAGAAAAGCCTTAGATTTGGTGAAACGCAAACACTGCACTCCAGCATAAGAACTTTATGCCATCTGTGAAACATGGTGCTGGTATCATGGTTTGGCCTGCTTTGCTGCCTCTGTCTCAGGACAGCTTTGCCATCTTCAGTGGAACTATGAATTCTAAATTGTCTCAGCAAATTCTACAAGAAAGTGTTAGGCTATTTGTCTGTGAACATATACTCAACAGAAAATGGATCATGTAGCAAGATGACAACACAAAATACACAAGTCGTACAACCTAAGAGTGATCAACAGTTAAGAAGAAAGTTAATATTTTGGATTGGCCAAGTCAAACTCCTGACCTTTATCCTATAAAAGGGTAGAAGGACTTGAAGTAGGCAGTTCATGTGAAGAAACAAACCAACATCCCTGAGTTAAAGCTGTTTAGTTAAAGAAACAGGCTAAATTTCTTAAGTACAGGCCTGATCAACCATTATCAGAATGTTTAGTTGTAGTTATTGCTGCCCAAGGGAGGGCACACCAACAAAGATTATTTTTTTAACCTTTAGATATAACTTTAGATCATTTTCCTTAATAAATAAATAAATGAACAAATATAATATTTTGACTCATTTGTTGAATAGGGTTCTCTTTATCTAGTTTCAGAACTTGTGTGGAAAGGACATTTTAAGGTATATTTTATGCAGAAATATTGAAAATTCAAAAGGGTTCACAATGTTTAAATACTACTATATCTATCTAATTAAGTATTTAATAGATAATACTTGTTAAACATTAATCTCAAGGTAATACTCATTTTGATAACTTTAAACTTGCCCCAGAGACTTAATGGAAGCTTTAAACATTGAATTATGTCTACTGAAATTACATCTATACATTTAAGCATGTTTTATTCAAATTATTAAGATATTTTTGAGAAAGATATACATCCAATTAGTTTATAGAATTTTTTTAAAAAAGCATAACTGCTAATCTCTTGCAGTAGTTTACGGATATACTGCGTCCTAAAGAGAGTAAATTAGTTTTGTTCCCCAGTTAATAGTATAATCAGGGTATAAACCATGTTACTTTATAAGATAAATAAGCTTTGGTAATGGCATGAAGAATATTGAGAATAGCCATAATATCAGCAAATAAGGGAAATTTATATCCATTGCCATGTGTCACCTTATCTTAATATCTTTAGG